GTACCAGTCCAGCTTTCCGAGTGATGATTTCCACATCCTTCAGATCCCTTTGAGTTGTGGTAAAACAGGATCATCTTATTTGATTTAAAGCTAAGATTAAAACATGAGCCATTAATGAACTGAAAACATTTGGTGATGCCTGGATCGCATATGAAATTCTGGAGTGGTACTTTGTAGTACAGTAAGACCAGGATACATAATTTTATTTCTGGAATAATGCTGTTCAGAGTTGGTCACCTTTTCCTGCTATGACCTAACAGCCAGCATCTTTGACAGCTGAAAATTAGTTCAAATGGAAGAGAGAAAAAGCTTTGAGAGCACCCAAAAAAAGGGAATCACCTATAAGGGCTCAGCCTATTGCCCATCCAACTGAGGCTCATGTATACAACAGATTGCAATACAAGTGCATGTACCAATAAGTATAAAAACCAATGTATTAAAATCAGTGTAACCAAACAATCACATTTTCCTGCTTTCTGAGCTGAACTATGAAGTCCCAGCTGAATCTAGGAAAGATGGAGCTCTGGCCATAGGAAGAAGACTTCTATTTACCCTAAAGTTTAGCATTAAAGGGTTTTGGGAGAAACTAAATAGTTGCCAGCCTTTCTCCTTCCCCATTAAGTGTGCTAGACAGTGACACAAACAGTGTCTGATACCAGTGCAGATATTTAGTGTGGTTTACAGCAGATTTGAAAAAATCGGAGGCTACCTGGGATCTAATTCCTGCACAAAAAGCAATGCCTGCCTTAGCCAGCAGGAAAAGCTGAATGCAAAAATAATTAGGGATAACATAAAATAGCTTCTACCAGTGAACAGCAGGAAAACATGTACTGCAAGTAGAGCTGCGCGACTAATTGATTTTAGGGGTTTGTTGGCAGTCTGAAAAGCAAACACACCCAACAGTAGGTTTTTGAGTTAACAGAGCTGATGTATCCTATGACAATAGGCTTCACTATGTGGCTTCCCCAAAGTCTAGTACAGTATGAATTTGGAAGCCCTTCCCTCAGCAGGATAATTGTTTTCCATTCGGACATTTATTTTCGTAAAATTTACAGGAGCACCCATGAGACTTTCGGGTTGCATCCAGGCATTGGGTATAATTGTAATTAAGGGGGGCGGGGATAGATACAGGCATATATGGACACAAATATGTGACAAGATGAGGCAACAAATGCTACTTACTCTCAGGATCCTAATATATTTTTTATAGGAGGAGAAAAAACTGGACCACTGTTTTGTCAGACAGTCACACATACTAAGTACTACGCTTGTGCACCCCACAGTGCTGAGAGCACTTGGGAAAGAAAACTCTTCCCCATTCATCCTTGTGAAGATATATCTCTTGCAGTAGGGTTGAATTACCTTGAGAAAAGAATTATCCCAACTTGACCCTATTATATCTCCTTTGTATCTCCCAAACAGGATTGCTTTCTCCTCAGAAGAGTAAATGAAAGAAGTTAGGTGAAGGGAAAATCGGGTATCCTTGCCTTTAAGAATTTAACAAACCATCAGTGAATAACAAACAGATCCCTTTCTTTTCCTAGCACAGGAGCTGTGAACACTGACAGACAACAAGCTTTTTGCATCAACATATTCTGGGAAAATTTCCCAAATACTGTGCTGCCCTGGTGGTATAGTGGTCAGAAAAAAACGCCCAAAACAAAACAACAAACCAAGAAGAATTAAAGATAACCTTTATCAAAAATAGAGACAATGAGGGGAAACGGGACTTTATTCTCCCACAAAAGCACTATGAAGTAGCCCTTCTGTTTATTTATCATAGTACAAGCAGAACACCTTCCCAAACCATCTCATCTCTGTGGTTAGTACAGCATTTGTCACAACAGCAAATTTCCACAGTGATACAGTGTTACAAGAGCTATTGAGACAGAGCCATACATAAACACAAAAATACAAACTACTCCTGATTAGCTCATTATAGGAGAAAGCTGTAGCATAGGCAGTTGTCAGGCAGTGACCAGGGTTCAACTACCCTCCTCTAAATTGCAAACTTGCATGACGAAGCACTCAAGAACCCCTCTTGGGACAATTCCTTCTTGGAGCTGATGAGATGCCACCAATTCTGCAGCTACAGAAGGGATTTTTCCAGAAGGGATGCCGACTTATATAAGTTTTAGGGCAGCAATTCCTTTTTGCTTTGCTATACAAATTTCCAAAATCTAATGTAACAACAGTCTAATCTAAGGATGAATTACCTTCTCTCTTGGAACAAAAGAACTTGGTTCAAAAATCAATAGCCTGGATTGCTCTCTACACCTCTGCTTTTAAGAATAGTGTCACTTCCATCTTAATAAGTATTCAAGATACATGCAAATATCTTGTGCTTTGTTCTCTTAAACCTGATGATCTTTGCAGAGAGACAGAAAGGGGTGTGCCTCACATTTTAGAAACACAAAACATATCTATTACTCATTTCCAGGCCTGAGAAAAAATTCAAGTACATACTTTACAGAATTGAACCATTACAGTCTGACACTTCCATCCAAGACCATGGAAGAGCATAACCTCCGACCATGCCTGAGGGCACAGCATAGAGGCACATGTAAGAGGTGAGGTTTTTAACAAGAGTAGCATAAAATTAACAATTAGCCTGTTAACAGTTGGTGTGTATTAGCCTTTATGTTCACAGAATGCTTATTTCCCAAGTAGGTTCAGACCCATGAAAAAAGAAAGATGTGTCTGTCCTCAGGAGGGTGGAAAAGAAAGTCTGAACAGTGGAGGAAAAAAGGCTGGTAACAAGGGATCTTGGGATGCTGCACAGCTGCTGCAACTTTCTTCTTTTCCAGTGTGAAATGTCATGACACACTTGGAAGCCACATTCAGCCATCAATATTTATAAATCCCAGAAACTATCAATTTGCTTTTGAGAGCAGATTTTTATATCCAGTGCAACTCCAGCAGACTATAAGACAAGCTCGATACCAAACTAATGAGAAATGAGATGAAGTTAATACACTGTAAGCCTTGGTTAAATCTATTTGTCCTATTTATTCATTGCCTTGTTGATATGGAACCTTTAAATATGAAATCTGTCCTGTTCACAATTATTGCTTACTTAATCCTTCAAAGTCTATGAATAATGAGACAAAAATATCTGTGACCATTGTCGAAAGAAGGAATATAAATAGAGATGAAATACTGTCTAGAACAGGCACTTGTAGAACAAATATCCCCACTTCTCCATCAGCAAATGTAAAAAACCTCTTTTTCCTAAAAAAATTACAAGACTGCAAGTATAAATGTCAGCCAGCCCCAAGGTGATCATCATCTAACTTGAGAAAAAAAAATTATAATTTTTGTGGGAATACTTTGGTTGATAGGAACTGCTTGGCATCTCACATAGCCAAGCCACAACCTGGACAGAGAGATACTTTTCTGAAGCTCAGCATTTCATTATTCAGTATCTGCCATCTTCATGTGTACAACTGAATTTATCCTTCTTGCAAATCAACCTAGTGAGCCAACACTTTAATGCCTATTTCAAAAGAGGGAAACATAAACAAAGAGTGATCAAGTGTCTTGCCGGTATTGGAGGAAGAAAACTTCACACAAGAAGGATGTTGAGGAAACTGCTCTCATTTCACTAGCTTACCGGGGGAAAAAATTAGATACATGTATATGAACTCAGTAGTTCTTCAGGGAAAATTTTTAGTTGAAAATTTTCCAGTGGAGCACGTGGGCAGTAATGAAAAATAGCAAAAATTTGGGCTTGAATGAATGATCCTTACAACTATAACACACTGTAAATGAAAGACTAGCTAATGCTATGTCCTGTCTAGCCCTGGCTCCATACATTTTTATATGGTGTGAGGCTTGGTCTCATACCATTTACACACATACTAATACCTGAAATGGAGCCTGAAGGACTGACAAGATTTCATCTAGCAAAGATTATAAACCCTATTATTAGAGATTTCCAAAGAAAAGCAGCTTTGGGTTGACACAAATGTTTTGTTCTGCTTGAAAGGAAAGTCCATTTTAGTGGTCATCAGAGCACTATTTTTTTCTTTTGCTTGCAAAAATATGTTGTTTCCTTACAGTGAAGATCCAATACTCAGTGATGAATAAAGTTGCAAAGAGGAGTTACCTTCTTGCTCTGGGCTAAGAATAAGCTGCAGGACAAACAGGCTACACCCATGTGGGAAAGAGAGGAGAGAACTGCTGTAAGCTTCCAAGGAACCTGGTGATTTATTTATCCAGAAAGTCTCCATCCATGCTCTTCTTCAGCTTGTCCACCCTCATACAGGTCTGAACAATTCTCAGAAGACTAGTATGAAGTAAAATGGAGAGGTCTCTTCTGAGAAAAGGATTTCGATGGGGGTGCAGGGGATCGGGGGAGAAGGGAAGACTTCCAGGGAAAAAGACAGGGGTCAAATGACCAAGTGATTCTCAAGATAGAGTCCTTTATCTCACTGAAAGGAAACACAGTGGATGGTGCTCAGCTTGCTGGGGTCCAAGCTTAGGCTCTTTTCAGCCCTATGTTTTTCCAGCAAAGTGAGAAGTCCAGCATATTGCTGGATGTTACACTGAACAACACTGCCCTTCTGGATGTGCCAGTGGAATAGCTCCCACATGGCTCAATTAATACATACAGCTACTTCAATTCAGGTACTGCCCTCTGTAGAAACTGAACCCCAAACACATGCTTGCCTTGAGTGCCCAGGAAGGCTGCCCAGATGCTGGACTAACCTGCAATGTGCTAACACACCAGTTAATTCTTTCTTCTAGCACCAGCTGGGAACCCTTCTGAAGGCAGGTGCTCTTCAGCTGTGTCTTTTGCTGTAGCTCCTATTGTCTCCATGTTTTTGTAGTGGGTGTTCTCCTGGTTCTTGGGCTGAAGTGGCTCAGTGTGCCATCAGAGAAAGGCTGATTTTCTCTCCAGCCTAATCAAAACAGTGCAAATGCTGAAGTAGAAGAACATTTTCTATGTTGAGATACTACGAAGAGACAGTGGTCTAAAGACAAAATAAGACACTTACCAAATCTACCTTCCTAAGATGGGTCATCTTGCAGTGAGGAATAAAGTCTGCAGGTTCATTTCTTCTTTCTCTAGTGCATCAGGGCATTTCCCTTTTTGAGTAGTCTCTGCTCTTTCTCTTCATGGACACACACGTGTTTCCCACCTCTCTGAAAGGAAAGGTAGCAACAGAAGAAAGATTGTAATCATTAAAATCCCACCTGCAAAGAGTGTAACACCCAGTACCATCCTGTGAGAGCCTAGCAGGTAGAAATGAGCCTGTCATGAAGCAACTGAATGTTTGAGCCCTCTTCCATTCAGACTGCCGATAAAAGCGAACCCAGGTGGGATAAGGCTGTCAAACAAAAAGGTCAGTCTTTTAACTCAGATATTTAAACCAGATTTAAAATAAACACCCAGCCTGTCTGAATTATTTCAGAAGACAGATGAAGGGAGGACAATGAATAACTGCCTTCTTCTCTCTTTACTTGGCATTAAACTGTCTGACACAGGGAACAGTCAGAGGACTAAGCAGATTTGCAACCTGAAGCAGAATGGATTCAGAAGCACCAGGATGCTTTGGGGCCCAATTCCCTTTATAACTCCAGCCTCCTTGGTCAGAGAGAAAAGGAAGGGGACACTCTATGTCCTGCAGTTAAATTAAAGTGGCTTTTCTGTGCTTCAGTCTGCAGCCAGGGATCAAGGAGTCGGATGGGATCTCCTAAGGAGCTGCATATTAAGGATCAGGTGCCAGAGGCTCTGAAAACCTCCACATTGAGACTGTCAGCTTCTCTGAAGCTGGAATTGTCGAATCTCATGTGACATAAAGCTAAGCATTACTGAAGTGATTAAATGAGCTGCCCAAGGGAGAAGCCTTTCAAAGAGGCTCATCCCCTCAGTCGCCCTCACTTCCCCCATCTCTTGCCACCCCTCAGAACTGCGACTGTCTTTGTGCTCTGCCACAGGCCTTTCTGTTACAGCCAAAACCTCTTGCACAGGCACCTGGCAAACAAAGGTATCCATCCCACTGGTATACAGGCAGATCAGGAGTGTCCTCATAAAAAATATAATGACCTCAAAGAAAACAAGGTGTCTCTTACTGCCTATCTTAAACATCACTAGAGTGTGGAATGAAACCAACTTCATGCTAGACAGCTTCAAGTCCAGACTTGACACTATCAAACCTTACCTAAACAACCAGCAGCATTCAGACTAGTCAATAAAAAGTATTACTGACAGTCTCTTTTCTCCTCTAAGCCAAGTGAAAAAAAGCAGTGCCACATGCTTGCCAATGATATATTTTGCAGTGAGTATAATCTCAAAAAACCACAACCATTTCCCAATTAAGAAACGTGGTCTCCAGTGAGGCTTAGCACAGATCTCATGGAGCCACACTCTGTATTAGTATGAGCTGAGCACTGGTCAGGTCTCGTATTAAGCCGATTGCTACACCCAGCAGTGTCTCAGTGCCCCCAAACCAAAATTTGAGCATTAAACTAATTAGCAGTATGCTACTGCTTTTATACATCCCCTGCAAACAGCAGGATAAAAGATAAATAAGTTGTTAGCCTCTCCTAAAGGCTTCCAGACTATTTATTTATAGACTCATTTATAGGTGCCCTTCACAGAAGCATCTGACCTTTTCATAATGATTACTGAACCTCTCCCATAAAGTCTGTGCATAATGAGACAGCATTATGGTGCCCATTTTAAAGAGATCAGAACATGGACCGAAAGCAAGTAAATGAAATGGTCTGGTTGTGGATGCAAGCTGTTCCACAGACACATGCCAAACAAAGACGCTATTGCTCTATCACATCTCCTTTAAAAGCCACTCAGACTGGTCTGGTGCTGCTGGAAGAACTTTGCAAGACTATAACAAATCAGTACTGGATCCAGCAATGGCAGTAATAAGATGCTCATAGACAAGCCACCCCATCAAACACCAGCAGCACCTTCTGATTACTGTTCCTCTTTGTGGAATGGACCTACAATGACAAATCCATACTTTTGAGGCTGACCTTCATTGTAGTCTCCTAAGTTGCTCTTGATGCACCACTCACCGTGGGCAAAGGTTTCTTCTGCATGGAAATTAAGGCATGTTGGAGAGTCAGAGCAAAGCTTCATTTCAGCCCTTCGAATAAACCCATCACTCACAATATTTACCTTTCATTTGCTATCAGTGAAACAGAGATTGCTGTACTGACATTCGTCCCTAAGTACCAACGGCAAATTTGATTCTTTCCTGCACTACCATCCTGGAAAGTTTCCAGGTGGTTGTTCTCATGTGAAGGTGCCATCTTGTCAACAAAACAAACGCAAAGGCGCTACTGCTAGAGCTGCATCTGGGTGACAAATAGAACCTCTCTATTTCTAGAGGATTACTGGTTTTAAGCCTGCATCCCAGGCCACTGAGGATCACCTAATGAAACCAAACATGTGGGAATGGTCACTGACTTTCATTATCAGAGAAGGAGAGACCTAAGATCAGCTGCAAACTAAGTACTGTCACGTCCTAACTTTGTGCTTTTTGCCCCAGAGGCAGTTGACATCTCTGCTAAAAAATTCTGCTAGAAATATAAGAAACATAAGGGACCACCCTAAAAACTCCTTTCAGCTTGATGTTCATACCAGAGTACTTTCTGTCCAAATTCTGATTTAAAAACAAACAAACAAACAAACAAACAAACAAAAATCACAACAAACAAGCCTTTAAGTTTCTCCACTGGTGAAGAACAGAAGCTTAGGCATAACAAGTCTCTCCCCTGAAGGTAATTTGTTCGCAAGTCCATGGAAATATCTTGTCCAATGTTGAAGGGATGCACTACTGAGGAACATGTATTTCTCTTAAGTTGTGCTACCAACAATCTCTTTTCCTATAGACAGGATCATAAAATAGTGGAGATGGGTAAATCTGGCCCATTTCTTTTCACACCAAAACAGCTTCCAGAAGAGCATGAAACATCCCCTCACTCGCATGTCCTGGAGCAGTGTTTGAGGCATTCAGGGATTCAGCAGCAATGATGTTACAGAAACTCACCCAGACAGGAAAGAACAATCCCAGCAAAATACATCAAATGACTTGAGGGCAAACACTTTTATGAAGGATTTCATGACCTCATGGGAAGCTATTGCTATGTCCCTATACAGTGTGTACAAGTTATTAATGGATAATTATCTTCCTAAGGAAAGAACAAGAAGTGTACAGTTTAAGAAACTGAGAAGATAATTACTTTGGAATTATGACCAGGTGATCACAAGCACTTTTGAACAGATGCCATCTGAGATATGCCATGCTTTTCCTAAAAGTGCCAGGCCCTGTCAGGTGCCCCATACAGGTAACATGGCAAACTCATGACGGTGTTGACTGAAACTAGAATCAGAGGGAGGAAAAGAGGAGTGAGCGAGTACTGCAAGTGCCTAGTTTTTCAGGTATATTTGAAGAGTCAGGAGGTTGTTTTCCACTCAATCCTTCTTATCACTGTAAATAGAATTTCAATTTCAAGGCAAATACTATGTTTAAAACTCAAAATTTCAGTGATTTGTGTCAAATAAAGTTTTTAACAACCTGGGATTATCTTTTCTTTCAATAAGAACAATCAGAGGTTTTAATTATCTTTTTTTCCATTTTTTGTCCTGTAAACATAACCCCCACCCCCATATTATTCATACAGTTTTCTTCTCTATTAAGGTTTTGTACTAATGAACTATTTAGGAGCTGAGATTTCCATCCCAAATGGTAAATTATTTGATTTTATACTGTAGTATTCTAATTGAAACAACTTCTAAGGGCATCACCATACGAGTAACTCCAGACATCTGTACCACATCAACTAAACAAGATTTTCAAGTAGCAGCTCAAAAGCTGCATTCAGGACACAACCCTCTCGTTACATTTCAGCCTGGCATCAGTGAGAGAAACAGCAGCATCATGTTGTGTTACATTATATGGTCTCAGTTAAAACAGTGCAGTTCAGAGGTTACCACTCTATAAAGTATTTGTTTTTATTGCCTTGTTCTTTTGATACTTTGAAGAAAGATAAGGGTAAGAGAGGGACATATATAAAGCAATTTTATTGTCTGAGCACTCACTGGCTTACACAAAGATTCAATGCTTGCTTTCAGCTTTTTTATTATTATTTTTTAAATAAGAAAAACCTTGCAGGAGACATAGAAACTGTTATGATTATTTGTCCAACTGACATGATGCCTCTTAGGCTAGTTTCTAGTTTTAAACTATCATTTTGGCAAATAAAGATTAGACTATTTCCAGACAACAGTGGATGTACTAAGCCACCTTGTAACGCCTGCAGAAATAGAGGAACTAATGAAGGAAAAAAATATCTTTGTTATATAGACCTGGCCACAAGTGTACTCTTGCCAGGATTCTTAATGAATATTTTGCTGCTTTGTGCTTTTTGCTTGATACCTGCCCTCCAACAACTGCAGATTCTGGAAAGACTTTACAATCACAAGAGATTGTGCTGTAACAAGCAATATTTTAACTAAAAGGCAGAGAGTCCCTGCACACAGATCTAGATTAATTACAGGGCTGGGCAATCAATAACAAGGGCAAGTGCCAGATTCTGCACCTGGGATGGGGCAACTCTGGATCTGTGTACAGACTGGGGAATGAGATACTGAAAAGCAGTGCCATGGAAAGGGACCTGGGGGTCCTGGTCAATGGCAAGTTGAATGTGAGTCAGCAGTGCCCTGGCAGCCAGGAGAGCCAACTGTGTCCTGGAGGGCATCAGGCAAAGCATTGCCAGCTGGTCGAGGGAGGGGATTGTCCTGCTCTGCTCTGCACGGGTGCAGCCTCATCTTGAATATTATGTGCAGTTTGAGGCACTCCAATATAGGAAAGATATAAAGCTATTGGAGGGTGTCCAAAGGAGGGCAACAAAGATGGTAAAGGGCCTTGAGGGGATGCCATATGAGGAGCACTGAGGGCACTTGTTCTGTTCAGCCTGGAGAAGAGGAGACTGAGGCGAGACGTCATTGCAGTCCACAGCTTCCTTGTGAGGGGAAGAGGAGGGGCAGACACTGATCTCTTCTCTCTGGTGACCATGTGACAGGACCCAAGGGAATGAGTTGAAGTTATGTCAGGGGCAGTTTAGGCTGGATATCAGGAAAAGGTTCTTCACCCAGAGGGTGCATTGGGCACTGGAAC